AAAATGGTAAAATATAATTTCTTTTTGGTGTATCCATGGCAACAATCTGCATTTTTTTGTTACGAAATATAGCAAAAAGGGGGGGAAAATGTCACATATTTCCCCAAAATTTGGCCAAAAGTAGAATTTCAATCACTTTGAGTAATACCTATTCTGAAACTGATTACATATATCTTTCAATAAATCCAATGAAAATCATGTCTTTCGTCTCATTTTTTTGTAAAATTGCGTCAAAAACTTCGTGTAGAAAAAAAGTGTTTATTACATTAATTTCTGGACCGATGACCGGTCTAGCTATGAAAATACGGAGAGTCAAACAGAAAATAGCCCATAAAACATGTAAAAAAATCTTTATGTTCTTATAAACCACCTTTGAAGGCTAAATAAGTACTCAGCTGTCTAAAAATGAATTTTATTACACAATAACTTTCATATTTGAAAAATCCACCGGGGCCAAAATGCGAAACCAAACTCCTAACTGTGTATTGCTACCTTAGATGCTATTTCTTGGTCTTGAAGATTAGCGTCTGTCCAAGTTTCATAACAATCCACGAAGGTTTACAAATGTATCATGTCAAAAAAATTTAATTCCAGACCGTCTGTAAATGTTAACTGAAAAAAACTAAGTTCCTCTATCAAAAAAATACTGCAAACGAAAAAATATATTTTCAAAATTTTGCTTTAGACATTATTTCTCAATCATAAAAAAGCTTCTGCCAAAATTTCAAAAACTTGTATGAAGGTTTGACAAAGAAATTGATGTGTAACAAACTTTAACCCCAGACTGTATCTACTAAGTCCATTGATCAATAAAATACGGAAAAATGAGATTAATAATTTAAAAATTTTGCTATGGATACTGTCTTTTGGTCATAAACAAGCTTCTGTCCAAATTTCATAAAAATCCATGAAGATTTGACAAAGTTATTGATGACTGAAAAACTTTAACCTAGACTGAATCTGAATGTTAACTGTAAAAAAACTAAGTCCATTTATCAGTAAAAAACGAAAAAATGAAAATAACTTTTTTTCAAAATTTTGCTCTGGATACTGTCTTTTGGTCATAAACAATCTTCTGTCCAAATTTCATAAAATTCCATGAATGTTTGGCAAAGTTGTTAATGACTGAGAAACGTTATCCTCAGACTGAATCTGAATGTTAACTGTAAAATAAACCAAATCCATTTATCAGTAAAATACAGAAAAATGAAAATAAAAATATTTTCAAAATTTTGCTCTGGATACTGTATTTTGGTCATAAACAATCTTCTGTCCAAATTTCATAAAATTCCATGAATGTTGACAAAGTTGTTGATGACTGAGAAACGATATCCTCAGACGGAATCTGAATGTTAACTGTAAAATAAACTAAGTCCATTTATCAGTAAAATACAGAAAAATGAAAATAAAAATATTTTCAAAATTTTGCTCTGGATACTGTATTTTGGTCAAAAACAAGATTCTTTCTAAATTTCATAAAATTCCATGAAGTTTTGACAAAGTTATTGATGTCTAAAAAACTTTAACCACAGACTGAACCTAAACATTGAAGCCGCCGCCGGCGACGACGCAATCTAGGATGGCCGTGTCTCGATTTCCGCAGGCTTGACAAAAATGAATAGTAAGCATGGACTATTGTCAAATTGTTCTAAATATTTGGAATATTAAAACAAAACATACATCAGTTATTTGTTTTTTACGGATGTGGATTTAAGCATGGATGAAATTTGGGTACTTTTCATTACAGAATCATGGGTCGATTAAAGGTTGGTTCAAACCCATTTTTCTATGATTAAAAATTAAATTGGCAGAACTATATAGCAAATAGGATACATCTACATAATACACACAGAATGGAAACTTTTGTCTGGGTCATAAATAAACGTAGGTGAAAAACTTAGGTACCCTCACATTAGATGTAATATGTTTGAAATTGTCCAAGAGGTTGTTTTCGGTTACTCTATATAATCCATAATTTATATCAAACCAAATATACATTCATGAAATAAATTACATGTTTTCTTACTCCTGTATAAAAATAGTAAACAACACCGTACTCATCGCTCCATTTTCCAATATGTCACGTAGGAGCCCTTCCCACGCGACATATCAATAAAGGATAGCAAGTGAGTTGTATGATTTAATCCGACTTGTTGTTCTGAAACATCTTTCAATCCGTTTTGCGGGTATAAATAGTAAAATACGACCTTTTCGAGTAATCATTGTTTTACTTGTCATTTTTAAATTTTAATTTTTGTGATTAATTTTATCGTTATCACAATAATTTGATTGCTTACAATTTATAAAAAAATCCACAGTGAAATCCCGAGGATTTAAGTGTCGCCATAACCAAACAAAAGCATTGTTACAGGTTTCATTGCACAACTACCAAATAGGCATTAGGTAACTGCACCACCCATCTTGCATCAGTCTAACGCTTTCTTGTTGGCGTAACATAACAAACCAGTAAAGTTTGTGGATAGTATTTATACTGTAAAGGAAAAGTAGGCAATGACCTCGATGATTTAACTGTTTTTCAACACCCAATCGTTTTGGATATCTTGAAAGTTAGGCCCATACAATGAAATGTTCTCACACATATCATGTAAGAGGTAAGGTAATGTTCCTGTTTTATTTCATCAAAAGGATCACTCATTTAAAACCCCAAAAACATAGTAAAGGGTTCCTCGCCTCTATCGCCTTCTATTGCTGCTGTCCGTGTAAAAGTGTAATGTTTATTGCTAAAAACTAAATGAACTAAGTTCGCTTTTGAGTAAAATATTGAAAAATGAAAAAAATATTTTCAAAATTTGATTCGGACATCTCTTACTCATAAAATTTATAATTAAAGGCCTCTGCCAAAGTTTAATAAAATTCTATGAAGGATTAACAAAGTTATTGATGTAAAAAACCTGTATCTCCAGACTGGATCTAAATGTCAACTGCAAAAAAAAAATTACATAAAATTCCACGAAGGTTTGACAAAGTATTTGATGTAAAAAAAAACTTTAACCACAGACTTAAATTTGAAGACGCCATGTAGGATTTGCTTTGTCTCCGCTTCAACAACTAATGTCAAAGGCTCAACAAAATCCTAAAATCTTGATTAAAGTTCAAAGCATTACAGTCCAGCATATGTACAATATAAACAGTAATATAAACACAGCCTTAATGTGTGTGTATGACTTAGCCTCTGATATTCAAATTCCACTTGATTTTACCAACCTTCCAAATTACCTTTTTAGTTAAACAAGCATATTTAGCAAGCATGTTAACACACACGCATACGTTGCCATAATGACACTGGTCAGATCATAATAATATTTAATTTCTGGACATTTATTGTACAGCACTTATTTTATTATCTTTAGCTTAAACCGTTTCCTTATGACACACATATTGTTTTCAGTCCTCTCAACAGTTTGTTTTCACAATAATGTCAATAATTTGTATTGATTTACGGAAACGTTATCTCTTATTTTTCATATGCTTCCTTTGATTGTAACCAGAAACTCTTAATAATTACTAAATTGCGTATAAATTTTGATAAATGCTGTATTTTGTGGAATTAAGATGAGAAAAGCAATCATTTTGAACACTTTCTATTTTAACTAGGCTTTCGAACAAACCCTAGGGCTATGTGATCTATAACCGTATGTAGATGATATTGTTGATAATAGTATATAAATTGAGATTTTGTTGGCAGTATTTGGCGGCACTATCTAAATTATCCTTAAATCATCAAGTTGTTTTTGTTTTCATTTTACCATATACAACGTTGTATCAGGAATAACTATCATGTTATATTGGCCGATCCACTCAATCAAATGAAAAGTTTTTGCTTAAAGCATTTCCATATCTATAATCCTGACGACAGTTATAATTAAAAAATCAAAAGATTTGTACTAAAGATACATCTAACCGGACAAAATAAAAATACTGACTGTCCCTATGGGCCGAAGTGTCCATAAAACGTAAATATCATTTAAACTGGATATTGATTTGGTTATTTGCAATGAAAGGAACGGTCTATAGATTGTGTAGTTTACAATAAAACATGAAAATACTTTAGGTTCTGTAACCACAGGGGCATTATCTGTCATTGAATGCTAAAGATATGATGAATTTGTTTGGTTTTTTTGTTCATCACCATCTGCAACAATCCAGATACTTGTAAGTTTTTTAGCCATAGAGTATTAAGGACAGTTAAAAATAAAAGTTTTTTAAAAGAATACAACCGGGATGTAAAATTAAAATATTATAGAAATCAAGTTAGATTATAGGGATGTTATAATGTTATAATTGTTTGTATCCCTTAATTGTTGGATTAAAACAACTACTTTCAATGCTAAATTCTGAAATTTCGAACACATGTGAACTGTAAATACTTCATAAATGGCAATTGAAATTAAATTGTTCCAATAAACAAAGCATTACTGAATAGAAGAAAAGTTACTTCCAGATAAAAATTTACTGTACAAGGACATTAAAAAGTGGAACAAAGATGCATGCATATGTAATAGTTTCAGGTATGGTCTAAAATGGTCCTTAAACTATTGTGTTTACACCTCATGTGATGCTGTTTTAAGGTTCCCTAATTTTTTGTTTGTAATGTTACCTTGATTTGTCTCTTCCTAATCGATTTTGAACATCAGTAAACTACTGTATCCCTAATTAAAGGCACAAGCGTATTGATTAAGGTAGGTATATGAATGATACAAATAACTGGAGCATAGGTTATGAATTAGTGTTTTGCAGTAGGTCAAGGTGTTTAATAAGGTAACTTGATATGTATAATGATGGAATGCTGTTTATTTAATGCTCGGTGGAAAACGTTCTTTATATGTAGAGTTATAAAGTTAATATTCAAGATTTTTTAAAAATTGTCTTGGTATAACTTAAAGTAGTAAATTCTGTAAAAAGGTTATAGATATCACTTGTGTTTGCAGTCAAATAGGACGAAAAATGAAAAAAAATGGCAATAAATACAACAATAACAATTAAAAATATAACATTTACTGAAATAATCAGCACGACAATAAACTATACAATAAAGTTCCATAAAAGGTATCTGGTGTTTTGTCATCATATCACATAAAAAATATATCACAGTAAGTGTACATTATTATAGAAATAAAAATTCATAAAATTACACAATGATTTGTACTTCTTTTCATACAATAAAATACTTGAAGCAAAACTGTCTTGACAAGATCATCTGATCATCTAAGTATAAATGTGGACGGTTTCAAATTTAAATCATTGTCTTCTGATGTTACTCACACACCCAAAAGAAATTGGTGTTTCACAGAACTTCCCACATGACTTGACATATCCATTTGAGGTGCAATAGGATTGGATAAGGTGGCATTGAATGTTCCTTTCAATACAGTGTCCTGGATGATTGGTGAAAACTGAAATTATATAAAGTAAATAATTATAGTACTAGTCATCGAGGCAAAGAACTGAAAGCTGCTGTCATTGACAAAGCTATTCCTTTTTTGTTTGCTTATGAACGTTTTGTTGAGCAATATTTGTTAAATACAAATACTAGTAAAGAACAAAGGTATGATGAGACCATTTGGCAGTCAAAACTGAGGAAAGAAAGACCGTACCAAAGACAGCCAACAGTCAACAAACTACCACACATAAAACTAAATATTCAGAAAAACAAGCCTCATCAAAACCGATTGAGTGGTAGTTTCTGATTGAAGAAAATCTGACACCAAAGACGCCTTTAAACTGATTCCAATTACTACTATTAGTCTGTAGCAAAATTACCAAGAAAATTCAAAGTTAAGAATACAATAATGAAATAAAAATAAAACATAAAGAATAACAGGAATTACAAAAATTCTAGACAGTAAAACCGACGACATTAACCACCAACACCTAACTCGGACGAAAAAATAAGACATACAAACAACGACAAAAAAAAAACACGTTGAAGATGCAGGAATGAAAAGTTTTAACAGTAATACTTAAAAGTTGAATTGCAAACCATATACATTATCAAAAAAAAAAAGAGATCTTAATATGAATAAATAAATTAATAAGAAATTCAAATTCCATCGATATCAAGCTTGTCTATTTGATTTTAAGCAACATCTTGGAACAATTAAATAATGCACTTGTAAAATGACATTTTTTTGTACACTAACGCTTAAAGTCATTGTGTTATCATGAGAATCGTTGGTTATTTGATAAAGATGCATCAACGGTCTGATTTAAACTAACATAGGAAAAGTGCTCCAGATTTTTTATTTTTCGATGTATCTCTGTATTTCATGCCCCTTAATCAACATAAGGTTTCAGTGCTCATACACAAGTGATAGTAAATATAAACACATGTAAATTGTAAGTTGTAGTGTCATATGGTAAGAAAAAGTACGATAAAATAAACGTTTTAGATAAATTTGGAAACGAACCAGCTGGTTCCCAACGTATACCAATATCAACATCTTTATCATTATAGTATAGGAAATTCCTTATAAATCATCTTAGGTTAATAACAAAAGGAAACGGACATTATTTATCGAATGACACACGGTATTAATCTGTTTCTGCAGCAAATATAAGGTTCATATCCATATACCGTATTTATTACCAACCATGAATACACAATGCATTTTATTGCCATCTTAAGGTTTTGATGGGATAGAGACTTGGAAAAGGTTTTTCTTATCTTCGTGGGGATCAAATTAGAGCTTGAAATAGTATGCTGATTTTCCCATAAAATTTGTCACTGCCAACATGTATTACTGATTTTCCGACACTTTGTGAATGATTAAGGTACAAACAGAATAGAGGATCTTTTGATTTGATGATCGCAGATTTAAGGTTCATATATCTGTTTTGTTTATAATCTTACGCTGGTATTCTTTTGTTTTGTAGTTAATATAAAAAAAGTTAACAGGACTTTCCGCAAGGAATTTTCGTCATAGATTTTGGCCTTCCAACTGTTTTTAAATTCAACGCCACTGAAAAGTTGTATGAAGACGACGAAAAGCGCGCCTAAAGTACTTAATTATACACCTAGCTAATTGGAAGATATTTTTTTACATAGCACACTTCGTATCTTGAAAGAGTATCAACTCTAACTGATATTTCAAACCATAATTTCAAATATCCACGGGTTATCTAAAACGAAACAAAATGACCAGTGTAACCTAAAGTTAATAAAAAATGCTGAAAGTTGATGCTATGGAACGGTTATTATATGATACTAGGACAATAAATTGGAGCAAGATCACGGAAAGATAACTTCAAACACGATGCATCAAACTCCATTTTACATGCACGTTTTTTTTTTTCGTGTAGGCTTTTCTTTTCATTATCTTAACAGTTGTATGAGGCATTTTAATAATTAACGCTGATCGAAATAATAATAAAAAGAGAGCAACTAAAATTCATTTTTCTATTAGAGACCTCTTAATTTTTCAGACTGAAAATGAAATGAAATGTAGACAGCACAATTGCAAAATGATACCATCAGGTGAATTACATGCAATTAATACCAATTAGTTTGTAACATATAATTGATCCTAATTATGTCTTTTAAACGAATTCATTGACATGTAAAGGTGCGGGAGACAAACAAGCATTAACTTACTTATGAAAACCCAAAAGAAAAAAAACCTAAGAAGCACGCAAGATGTTATCACAGGTTCAATGTTTAACCTAAGGGTCGGGAATCAAATACGACTGATTTATACAAATATGATTCAAGTTTTTCAAATAAAGACAGACATTATCGCGGAAGTGATCACTCTATTTTACATGTATTATGTAGGTGGGACCGTTTACCTCAAACTACTTAGATTGTAATTAGTTAAATAAACAGTCTCAATCTGATATTATAAATTTGTCTGTATCCACCGAGCAATATGTTATTTCAAATAGAAGTCTTATTTGTATAAGAAAACTTTTCTGATTAAGATGACACAAGAATGTCGCCTTGTACATTGAAGATATGGCAGACTTTGTTTATGTCGAAAGTACGTCTATGGACCTGACTAATTATATATGATCTTGCTTCAGAATTACTTTCAAATAATTGTCAAAAATAAAAACAGAGTATGGATGTAAAGTTATAAGAAAGGGTTCTCTGATGTTAGGGAATATTTTAAGTTCAATATGAAAAGCAGAAGCTTTAACAGAGACATGCCGTGGTAAGTGAAGACAAAAAGTGCCATAACAGATAAAAGTTCTAAAATCCAATGAGGAGCGAAACAACCTCAAATCATAGAAAGAAATCCATACGTATAACATCAATTGGAAATATAAACTAAAGCTTCCACAATAAGTTGAAACAAAATAAATTTTAATCTTTCTTAAGAGAAAGGTCTTGTCAACTGTGCTTGGTTTGTGGACTGGGTGGCACAATTGCAGAAAGTTATTATTTTCATACCATATTTTTCGTTTCCAATTTGCTCCAGGAGAAACTGATCATTGTACTTTGAAATGATTGTAAATCATTGAAACAGACATTTAACTTCAAAATGAAATAATTAAATCATCATGAAAACAATTTAATGAGTTTTTCAATTAAATAGATGTTTCTTAACATGAAGCATTCGTTTAGTTAAAATTTAAATTAAATTCTGAACCCATACATAACCAATTGACAACTCCACAAACTGTCATAATGAATGCATAACATTCTTGAAGTAATTGGAACATATAATACATTTTTAGAATTTACATGTCTTGAGGAAACTTGGAGGTCACGTTACATACCTGACGAACTGGAGTGCACTCACAGGGCTAACAAAAAAAATTTGTTACGGAGATGTGAGGTAATCTTCAATGCCACAAAAACATGTATACAGGAGTTAGCAATAAGTTTTTCAATGAGACACAAGGAACCACATCCATCAATTCCCAACAGACAAACAAAAACCAAGAAGAGACAGAGACAAGTTTATGCCTTATAATATGCTCAGGCACATGAGCATTTGGTGGGATTACCTAGTCAAACGATACTGCATAACATCCTCTCCTGATTTTCTCGCACAATTGCAAGAACAAAAGATTCAGTTGACTTGCTCAAAACGGATGAATTCAGTATTCCAGTGGGGACCAACAGAGCTCCTCTTAACACATACTTGTATTGTTAAGAATCACAGTTTTATAGCTAAACTTCATAAAGACCTAACAAAACACCACCTGCAATACCTGCAGATACTTATATGACATATTCTTTGCTTACAATGCGGATTTTTCTAAATATACAAATGAAAAATATACAAACTCACTTTTGTTAAATCTAACGTCATAATAGTGATCGTTGACCCTTTAGAACTAAGTTGATGATAAAATTTCTCTTGATAATTTTCATACAAAAATTTATTAAAAACGAGACATTTCCATGTCAATTGTTAATTTCCTTTCCATGATGGTGATATTCCGTTGGACCCATCTTATCTAAGTACTTCGAGCAACATTACAGATGCCTTTGAATTTTTTTGAGTCATTGGATTGTTGCTTCATTGACGTGTATTCCACGTCTCTTTAAATTTCTATATATTACAGATCAAAGAATACCTGTAAGTTAAGTATGGTACTATAGTAATTTAAAAACTAACTAATAATGACATAGTGCATTCTTGCACTCGAAAATCAGTAACTGCACTTTCAATTATCTTTCATAAATAGACAAAACGAAGTATTATGGCCATATTAAAGTAGTAAAACAAACATGCACACTTCTTCCTTTCCAATGGCTATGTAAAGTGTAAACAAATATATAAATGAATGAAAACAATACAACAGTTTTATTTTCCAAAAAAAAAAAATTGATTGGAATATTGTCGACATAAGCTGAATGTATCAGACTGATAGATTAAGACAATATAAGGAAAGACACATCAATTAAGATGGGTTTCAATCCAAAGTATTCATGACAGACATGGATACTCGATTCGAACATACATCAGACTAGAAGTTACAATGTGAACACAAGACAAAAAAATCACTACACCTTCAAGAAAAGAAATATACATTGGAAATGATAAACTTCAAATAAGACGAGAAGGAATCCAGGAAATCTGCTCCTAAAATAAATACACATACGTTAAATCCATATACGTCAAAACTATAATGGAATGTCTTAATATATTCCTTGTTTAGTTCTAAAAGATCAATTTCTAAAGATACTTGACTGACAATAAATAAAATAAGTTCTAAAACATGAAATCATTAACTTATAAAGTGACAGACAATTTAACTTGTGTTGTAACCTCGACTAAGACAGTGATACTTAGATGATTGCATGTTACCCTATAAGAACAGTCAAATCCATCTTTGTCTAAGATAAAACACTTCTAATTACTATAGACTGACAGACAAATGGAACAGAAAGCAATATCCCACCTCCTAAATCAATACAAAAGAGGCAAAAAACATTTTACTACACCAAATTAAAAGCTGTGCAATCTGCTTGTGTCTTATAGCTGTAAATAAATGGTAGTTTTTGACATGAACAGGATGAGGAACTGACCTTAACTTCGGCATATCTGGTATTAAATTAGAAACTACAGTGATTTTATGCGTTATTGAAGTCATTTGCAAACAGTTACATGGAAACTTCTCTAACAACCTGAAGTATTTCATTTAGCAACATTCAAAAGTCTGATGTCAACACATATTTTGCATTAAAGACTGTAACATCACTGATTCAGAAACACACAGTTCTCAGTTTCCAATGTTTATTTTTATTAAGTTATTATGTGATCGGTGTGTTGACACCAGAAAATCTTTGCTCTTTGAATCAGATTAAAATAAATTCTAACATTAAATCAAACAAATTGCATTAGGTTTTACTTTAATGTTCCAATAGTTGATAACTTATATTTTCATTTGACTGAGTCTGACATACAAAATTTTAATCCCCCTTTCTATGATGAGTTTGTTTTGTAGAAAAGATTGAAGCTTACATATAAACAAATAACTTCTACAGCACTATTTCTATCAGCAGCATGGCAATTATTTGTGTATGTCTAGGGCCTGTAACAAATATTGCTGGGATAAACAGATTTACCATCTTTCATCTGTTTGTCCCAAATTGCTCAAGTTTTGCATTTAGGTTCATTTTTCTGAAATCTAGTAAAATAGGGGTATTTGACATTTAACATGGTCCTCTTAGAAACCATCAACTTAAAATACTTTATATCTTCCCAGCCTTGAAGGAACTCAAAAGTGTCTATATGAACATCCTCATCACCATTCAATATGACCTCATTTATTTTGCATGATAGCTCATTTAATGTATAAACTATAATACATCCTGGTCTTATTTATGTGGAGAAACACAAACCTCATATGCTGCTGGTCCAGGTCCATCTTCCTTCATTTCTTTAAATCTCTTGTCTTTAGTCACCATAAGTCCTCCCTTTTTAGTGATGGTATCTTTCATACTGTATGCACCTGGCCCTAAATAAAAAAATATATAGTATTGTAATATCCGCTACCGTTTTGATTCTGTTTTATTGTATTTTTTTTATTATTGGTTATTTTTTTTTAAGAGGGGTATTCAATTTCTGAGAATAAATTGCAATTTTCATAGGGAAAGTTTCTTGTATTAAAGGTCTTATTAAAAAAAGGAAAAATGTGTAAATGTACAAGGTCATATGGGATATTTATTCCCAAAATACAATTGCTTAACATATGTACTCTTAATGCTGTTTTTGCTTACATAGCAATTATATAGAAGTAAATGCAAGATTCGAAAGATTTTTATCATTCATAGTTCGTGTCAGTCATAAACAACGATAAAATATTGTTTCTTTCAACAAACAGAACAAACACATCCTTGTGACTAGAAATTGCAAACATTCAAGAAACACTAAAAGTCTTCCAAGATAATGCCAACAGTATCCAGAATAGAATGTTTTATCGAGCCACTGTTTTACCTCAGATCTGATCACCTCAGACATCAGCAATTTGCTACAGGAATTGTTATGGTTGTGATAAATAACATATGCAAATCTAACAAGCCAGACTTAGAACTGACTGTGAACATTTAGCGGATTTATGAGTATGTTTACAGAGAGTAATATGCCAGATATGAATGTATAATTATACTTCATACTAGGAATAATCAAATACCAAACTTGTCGCCTGTGGTGTTAGATGTAGAAACATGGAGCATTTCTAATTTGTACCCCCGTAAATCTGGATAAAAGTAACAATGACTAATGCATTTAATCAACAAAATGGGATACGACATCTTCACCCAATATTATGCAGGGTGATATGAGGTCAGCTGTTGCAGGATCACTTGGTGTGAAAACATGAACTCTGAGAATGGAAATTCCAAGATATAAAGGTCATTCAAGGAATTCAGAGAAAACTGGAAACTGGTGCTGTGTGTAATTTACTTTTCATGAGTACTTGCAAACTTGTTAATAGGTGTTTTGAAAAAAGTAATTCAGTAGTAAAAAAGCACAACATGGGTGGTGCTGTTGTTTTATTAAGATATATGGATGTTCTACACGCTTCTGAAATTATTTAAATCGAAGTATCCGTGCAAATAAATAGCTTTTTATTTGTTTTATTGGGATTAAATTGCTGTATAACTAACATTTATTATTCATCGAAATGAGACTTGAGAACACAATATGACTACTAACTGTTTTCCGGGAAAATAATGTTTCAAATTTCAATAGAAATATTGAAAAATGCCGTTTCGTATGATACCATGTGTGTAATTTCAGTATTCCACTTATAAACACTGTACTTAACACAAGACCAAGGAGGGTAAACAAAAAAAAAAAAGAGTTATATAAAAGGCTGATCAAAGTCTACTGGCTAGTCATAGACCTAACATAAAAGTCCTATACAGTTAAACAGCTATCATTAAAATGAATATGTTTGTTATGTTAACAAAACATTTAACATTATCCTAATGGGTAAATCAATTTATTCCGACAAACAAAAATGAAAGCAACAAAAGTTAATGTCATTGACAAGGATGTATTTCCTTGTATAAACAGATAAAGTATCAACAATAAATACGGCGGAGATGATGCGTTTACCGAGTCTACTGAAAGCTCTTTCATGTTACGGAACAGGAAAGTACTCCCAACATATATAGTAAAGCCATCATAGTTAACCTATCTACTCGGGCAATGAAATAAAAACACATTACATTGCAATAAACTCCCTTATGTCCAATGTTATACATTTCCAATAATTAAGTACAATAGGAATCAAACATGAATACGTATCCATCGGTTCTGTGACCAAACTCATCTCATTTCATCTATTTTCACACTTGAGAGTTTTTCAGAACTATGTGAAGGGCAATGAAGCTGAAAGGGACAGTTGTTGCCAACACACGGTTTCCCGTATACAACAATTTCACTTCTGGAGATAAAAGGATATTAATATCGCAAATTATTTACTGACATGCAAATGAAAGTAAAAAATATTACCTCAAATAAAGTACTTAATTACACCAACGTCTTGCTTTTAATAAGAAAATTTACGAATATATATATAAGTTACTGTAGATTGTTAAATATATTGTTGTAAATTTATAATATAGAATTTTGTCCCAAATACACGGGAAGTCTTGTTGTCATGATGTGACATGCCAAAAACCTCGAAAATTGTAACTGGACTCTTTCAAAGCTGTCAAAAGAATCATATCACATAAAAGTTAATTAAGATTAATAAAATGAAAGCCAATCTAATACAAAATACAATATTTTCTATGGATGATTATATAAGGCCGACATTAAAGGCTTGTTAACAGGGGAAAATCTGTACAAAAAGGCAAGACCATAGACATGTAAAGAGAATAGGCTCCGACACACAAAAAGCTAATTATCCCACGTTGTGTTAGGGCTATGAAAGGCAAGAGTTATTACTCATAAATAATAAATTCATAATTGGAATCATTATTGGCTGTGTGTAATAATCCACGCTAGAATTAAGTCTAGTTTTTAACTTTCTTTCTTATCTGACGTTTATTATCCATACATAGGATTTATGCTGCCAACTCTATAAAAAGCTCTGAGACCACCCGTATATAATACACTGTTATCTATTTATCTTTTAAAAGAAGATCCAGTTTTTTTAAGTTCTTTATAAAAGGCCGTACGATAGAATAATGAAAAATCATGCATATTTTCCGGTATAGGACAAAGAGTTATGCAATAAACGTCTGCACTCTGTATGTGGTTGTATGAATTTGGAGGTTTGTCAACTAAAGAAGCAATAAGATTTAAATCTCCGATTCATTAACTAGTAAGCATTCTAATTCGGCAAAGGTCACATTTTATTTTATGTCAAGCTGCAACAGGGAACTTGATATTTGCATATACATGGATCTTTTTGATTTTAAGTCGGTATCAAAAATCTAATATCCATCGGGTGTTTTAAGGCAATGAGGAAAACTTTCTTTACCATCTTACAAAACACAAGTACAGAATTATGTTACAGAATGAATGTGTCAAAATGATGGAAATATCAAACAAAGGCCCGCTGGAACTTACGGCCAAAAGGTTGATAAACTGACAAGAAAATTTTAAAACAACTTAACAGCTATGGTGTCTCTTCGAATTTACAACAAAAACACAAGATATGATTATTGACATTTTTAAAATTAATATTATCATCAAATCCCATAAAACTTAGAAAGGAATGTGCTGCAGTAATGTCAAATCCCTGTTTTACGATAAATTTATGGAACTTATCTGACGTTGCCTACTGAATGACTTTGAAATCGAAAAGTAAATAGCATTAGAGCAAATTATGGCTTTGTGATACGCTATACCTACTCACTCTCTATCTAAATTGTTTGGTTTATTACAACAATTGGAGAAATTTTAGGAAAAGCAGTCAATTAGTAGTGACAATATCATCGTTTCTGTCTTAAAGGATCAAGCATAGGAAAAATCATTAAATATATTTAATTCGTTTGATTAGCTTTTATTGTGCAGTACAGATAGTCGACAGAGGATGGCTTAATTCCATTGAATGTATAACAATTACTGAACATTGTGTAGGATCTCTAAATTAGGGGAACAGAGTAAAACAAAATTAGTTGTTTCCATTGTTCTGCCATTGTTATTGAATAAGTAAATTAGTTATGTAAGAAGTTTATTCAATTATTCTTAAATCAATTTCGCTGTCAGGGATTATAAGTAAATGGTTCCAGGTGCGAGATGAATACACATTATGGTTATGGGTCACTTCTTATAGTTATCATACAGAAATCAAATTATCTTGTATCTTGTTCTACATCAAAGACGAACATATTCCTCATCATAAGTACATTCAGATGGTATACATGTATCTTCCATTATGCTATCAAAACTTTTTGTTTTTATCTGTAAGATTTCTGCAAAGAATATCAAAATATAATTTGACTTGGCAGAATGGTCGTGTCCTGCATTAGAGCGCTGGAACTTGATATCAAGAGCATATTATGAGACCTTGTGCTCGGCTATCTTTTGATTGTTCATGGGTGAAAGGTTGATGTGAAATTAACTATTGTTTTGATACCTGATTTTTCAAATAGAAGTAAAAAAGTCATACAGATTATGTAGCTTCACAAATCTACAATCATTCCAGATTATTATCTAACATTATTGATATGATTTTCAGGTTTTATGGAAATTAAACATCAAAACTGTTGCCAAATAGTTTTGAGACTCCAATGCTTTATTGCTAAAATTCGAGTAAATTTATTTTCAAACATCGTGTTGAATGATTTAACTGACTTGTGCACTGTTAAAAATAAGTGGGTTCAAAAGACTAATTAGAATATATTTCTTATAGCTGATTAACTTCCATCAACGGACAGCCTTATCATTTAGTGTGTTTATATTTTCAGTGTCAGGTTATCGGGGCGGTAGGATGAGCTAGTTGATAGACACTTGTATGTACAGAAAGGTTTGTATATGTTGTAAAACAGTAATGGTCAAGTCTGACTTATTTACTGCCCATTATTTCAAGCACATATTAAAGCTGTCTTCAGTAGAATAAGGACTGTGATAACTAAAAATACTATGACAAATGGAAAAGTTAGTGGAACGAGAACATTAAGATATGTGTTCTAAAGCAAGAAGCATTTTTATGTCTGTGAATCTGTTTTAATATCATAACAAGTAGACACATTAAATAAATCTTAAGTCAGTGGGAAAAACTTGCTGTTGGGAAACTTTTAAGAACAACTTTGCGCTCAATCTACAATACAAGATATTCACAGCAAAAAATCCACTATTTTTTTTTAGTGATATAGGGTGCTGGTAACAATGCAAACATTGCAATGATGTCACAGAAGCATGTGAAATCTGCTGTTTTGGAAATATAATCAGGCCAGTTTTAATTAGCAGCTCTCCATAAAAAACAAAAGCAAATGGTGGATATGAGACCACAACCTGACATAACACAAAAACCCCTTAAAATTAATTAGAATCTGGAGGGACTATTCCATCGTAGTTTGTAAATCTTTTATTTTAATTATCACTTCAACTTTTCTTGGAGATTTTTTCAACATGTAGAACATGAATAAAAGGGGAGGAAGATATTGGGGCAATAAAAAATGTATGTTGAAGAAAAACAGATGAAACCATAGTAAAAAAAAAGAAGTTGGAAAGGTAGCAAAAGTCCACAAAACACTACACAGAAAACTAAAGGAAATGCCAGGAATATGTAGATACATGAAATTGAAAAAAAAAAATCATATTATTTATCTATTTTTAGGATTATTTGGTAAAATTTGATTTCAGAAATCCACTTTGAAATATGCACATATGAAATGCATGAGCAATGACCAATTTGTTCATCAGCAATGGTATTATCATGCCACAGTTGTTTATATCAAAACTCTCAACAGCTGGTTACATATGTTGCATTTCCTTATCCATTTAGTTCTGCAACACAGATAAATTTGAGTGATGACCAATGGTCAGTCTAATGGTAACAGGTGCATGATGAATAATGATTTTATCTTAGACAATTGATATATTGATAAATAAAACCTGTACTTAATGACTCAACCTAGGTAAACTTTAATTGTTTCACTTTTCATGTACAAACATTAAATGATTGGTTTTGTAGCTGAGAATATTCTAAAGTAGTGTTCCTTGGGACTTAAACACACTGATTTTCAAATAGATCACTGTCTTTATACTGCAGGAGAAGTTTCACTCTTTTTTTACAGCAGAAGAAGTTTTACTCTCTTTTTACTGCAGGGGGAAGTTTCACTCTCTTTTTACAGCAGAAGAAGTTTCATTCTCTTTATACTGCAGGGGGAAGTTTCACTCTCTTTTTACAGCAGAAGAAGTTTCACTCTCTTTTTACAGCAGGGGGAAGTTTCACTCTCTTTTTACAGCAGAAGTTTCACTCTCTTTTTACTGCAGGGGGAAGTTTCACTCTCTTTTTACAGCAGAAGAAGTTTCACTCTCTTTTTACTGCAGGGGGAAGTTTTAAGTCATTTTTCCAGTCTACATCACAATCATCCTATATAGACACATATAAGGCTTGTCAGGTTGTCAAGCAAATACTGTAAATTCAGAAATTATTGTGTGCATTTATTATTGCGATTTTGTCATTTTAAACTGAAATGCGATTTTAATTTTTGCGATATCGAGAAAAATTAGACTTATTCAAATAAAAAAATAAAAATGCGAGTTTAAATTATTGCGATTATAACCCTGTCACATTTTTCGCAATAATAAAAACATCGCAATAATTTCTGAATTTACAGTATTAAAATATAAAAAAAAAACAAAGCGTATGTGTCCATATGACACCATGCCATGCTCAACCAAATTATCATTTCAATGTTTATCTGGATCAAAACCCTAATTTAGTATGTATTCTTAAAAATTCACATCATCATGAACATGCATAAATGATTAAAGTTGATGTGACCACAACATCATGGTAAAATGCCTTGAAGAAAAACTTTTACCAGATATGGGACAGACAAATAGACGAGTACGAGTGTCCAGATGCAGAGACTGGTAAACATAATGCCCCGATACTATTAAAGTAGGACATAAAATCTTCTTATAAATCAAATGGGAAAGTATACAGATTTCCATATCAAAACATGGAAACATTTGTATACCTTCCCTTGTATTAGATCAATACATTGAGTTCGATTTTTAACATTTTGGCTCAAAAGGTAATAGTCAGCAGAAAGATGTGTCACAATATCTTGACATATTTTAAGACTCTCAGCAGATCAGTCTTTGCTCTTATTCCCTAATGCTGAGTTTTTGGTGGAGAATCAACAAGTATTAATTCTAAACCCAGTTGGGGATTACCACAACATTCCACACTTAAAGTAAGCAAGGTGATACAGTCCTACCATGAAACCATTTAGGTGGTTTAGACATCCTGAATACTTCTCTTTAGATCTTAAAGGTTACTTGTAAACTTCATTAGATAATCTGATTATATCTTCGTCAGTATGAAGGAGTTGTACTGCTATTCCAAGTCAAATGCTTTGAAGAAATTGTTAGGATTAAGGCCAGAACAGTTGCATGTCTGACAAATAAACTTTTTTTCTATACTTAACATCTCTCTTCATGTTAATTACAATTGGTTACTATGCTAATCCAATGTACCGGTAGCCTACCAGTCTTCTCTCAAGACAAGATATACTTATATACTTTCAGATTTAATCAGGATTTTAAAGTGAACCTTAAATCCTCCACTAGATGTTCAGGTGCAGCAACAAAGTAATACACTTAACAAGGGCAGCTGCTGGCGACAACCAATTATAGAAGGAGAGACAGTTAGATTTAGATCAAATGTTGTGATAATTTTTGTTCTTGTAAGAACTGAAGCAGTTGCACAATATCTAAAGCATCTCCAAGTCAAACATTACTGTATAATTCTCATAAACCTGTCAATATCTTTTAATTTCAACAAGGTGGTCTGTTTTAAAATTAGCTGCAAATACCCAAAGTAGATCATTTGGATACATTCACAGAAATATTCCTGGTTTATCTCAGAATTGATGCAATCTTTGTAAAAGACTCAAAAGATCTTGTATAAATTTAATTTTGCTGCCATGTTTAAGATTACTAGTGATTGCTAGTGACTTGACTAAATGGAATTGTGCATGCAGATAATCTCTCATTTTTGTTGAACTGCAAATGCATTTGAGTAGCTGTCAGATTTGCTTTAATGGGTAAGATAAGATAGTATTGTATAGATGGCTTTTATTTAGAAATTTGTATTCCAGGATGTCAACACAACAATTTACAAGTAAAACAGATTCTGTAGTTTTCAACAGGAAGAAATAAACATAAGAAACAGATTTCACCATGACTCACTGTTTACTCATAGGAAAAAAATGCTCTTGCCGTCATAGGCTTTAAAAAACTTAATTTTGAAGGTAAAAATCTTATATATGTCATGCCATTACTTTTTATTTTGAAGTATGTAAATAAATTCAATGAGAAAGCAGATATTCTATATCATTCTTCTTTTACACTGCTTAATCTTTTGCTCTACATCATAAACCAAATTTATCTTCAGCAAAATTCGAGATATCTTTTTTTTTAACTTGCAAATGAATGAAATTAAAACAGATGTCATTTTCAGAAGAAGTAAATTTAAGTACAAAAATTTACACAAGCTTAAACTAAATTAGATTTTGTTTATGTATTTTAATCATCTCCTGTGTCAGAGAGTCCATTCATAAAGATTATGTGTACTTAAAAATAGCTTTGAAGGGTTAATCAGGTAGTCAGTGTGTACATATACAGGGTTCAGTTTCACAAAACCCCCAGATTTATCTTCAAATAGAAAAAAAAAAATTATTCTAAATTGAGATGAAGAACACCAATAAAAGCGCTGTTCCTTTGCGTTTTGTGGGTTTTTTTTGCTGTGCATGTACTGATATTGTGTCATGGATGGATACCCCATGGATCCTTTGTTTATCTATTAATTGAATAAACTCTTGAGTGGAATAAAAACTAAGGAAATCACACAGCTGTTATATTTTGTTGAACCAAGATCAGAACATTATCACTACTCAGTAAAATTTAAATACATGGATTTCAAATATTAAAATTTTAAAGATGTCTGGAATTGGGTTGGAAGAATTATTTGCCTTTATTTCAGGTATGAAGAACTTATTTAGATTTGAGATATGAGGATATAACTGTTGATTCGTTATTATTTGTTGGATAGTCATTTTGTGAAATTATAAAATTGTTTTGAATAAACATTGAACAACAAAATTTCTTATGTGACGTTTACATTTTCTGACATCAGACACGCGAAGCAATGAATGTGATTTTTAATTTGATAGATGCTTTTGTGCTTTTTTGTAAATGATTGTTTGTTTTGATATTGTAACACAGTGATGACTGCTGTACCCATATTTTGACTATTTTATTTATCATGTCTGTTTTGTTCACGCATCGTTGTAAATATAACGGAATTTGATGAGACTGTCGTACAAGTTAGAGGTTTAGCGCTATAAAACCAGGTTCAATCCACCATTTTCTACATTTGAAAATGCCTGTACCAAGTCAGGAATATGACAGTTGTTGTCCATTCGTTTGATGTGTTTTGTCATTTGATTTTGCCATGTTATTAGGGACTTTCTGATTGAATTTCCCTCACAGTTCAGTATTTTTGTGATTTTACTTTTTTGTGGATTTTGAGGGTAAAGGTAACCATGAATTCAAATGTTCAATGAAGTAAAATTTTTTAAAGGCTTGTATGCAGACTGGCAAAACAATGAAATCAAATATCCACAAAAATACAATTTTTCTTTAACAAAATTTGGAATCCACCAAAATAATTGAATCCACAGCACTTAGATTTTAGAAATGAGGAAATGACTGTAATTTTGGACCTGAATAGATGACTACCTAGATTTAAGATTTATGGTATTGACTTACCTGGATTTTCTAGATCAGGCTGTAGTACCACTGTATCTCTTGCAGGTGCAAATCTTGAAGCAGCAGTTAAGAATGATCCTTGTTTTCTACCAGCATCATCAGTTCGTGGTTTGGCTCTTTCTATTCTAACCTGTGATTTTTGGTAGGATTGGCTTACTTCATAGGAACCAGGTGGTGGCAGTTCCTACAAGCAAAGGAATTCAGTATGTATAAAAATTACAAAACATATATGTAATTGCATTCTTGCAAGACAAGATCTCTAGCCAAAACAGGTATGAAACATGATTGTTTCTGTAGCACAGGACTTAATATCAGGTAAATAGGATGCAGAAAAATAAAGTCCTTAACCAGCATCTGCAGATGTGGATTCAGTATAATCCCTAAGATATTTCTGCACACTGTATGAAGCAATATAGGTAAATCCTCAAATATATCCATCATGAATTAGCCTCTTTTGTTTGCTATTAAATGGACATTTATAGACAAGACAATCAATTTTTAAAGCACCTAGTTTGAAGAGCATTGTTTCTTTGATATTTATAGAAGGACACATGGGATAAACATCAAGGAGACAGCAACCAATTAAAGATACAAACTCATCCTAATAGATATCTATAGTCACCACCCAGACTTTAATAAAGATCATGTCAGTTAAGGATCTAGGAATTTCAAAAATGGGGGTCTTGAGGGACCTAAATAACAATAATAAACAGTCAAAAAATAAAAAAAATATGTATTAAAAACACAAATCTTAGGCCATCAGAGAGACCACTTCATGCCCCTCCCTATGATCCCCCTTTTCAATTACCTGAAAGGCAATTGTGAATAAATTCAACTGATGCAATCAAAGAAAAGATCTTTATACCAAATTCTAAATATATGGGAAAAAACAAGCCATAAAGACAATGATAACAATCAATGAGATTCCAGCTTTGAGAAAGGCACAAAAGTATGTGTAAAACTCTGTCTGATAATTCTGTTTTATTCTATGTCTATCTACAATCAACAACAAAAATTAGAAATAGGATAAGACAAAAAGGAAAAAATGTTTAAAAAAGCTATTTATTATGAGAACAAAAATTATCTACATTTCCAAAATGTCAAATACTAATTGTCTAATCATGTAGTTCTATGATGAATTATGTCTACGGTTATCAGAAATAAATTATAAACAAGACTTTGAGCATGATAATTTTACAAAAACTATTAACATGTTCTTAATCATCATTTTGTCAAAAAAGATGGTTCTAAACTGTACAAAAACATGACAATATACCTGTGTCATTACTAAAGAATTTTAATTTTTTGGTTATTTTGCAAAAAAATGATATTCTGATGATGATTTCATATGTATTTTCATTCAAGTCACCAGTAAAATGTTTACTTGGGGCTATGTTTGATATCTACCTTAATTACATCAATCATTTCCCATTTAAAATTTAAACCACAAATTCAGTGCTGCATGTAACAATCAGTAAAATTCAATTCTTAAGAGATCTGACAAGTATTCAGAAAAAACATAGGTCCTCCTTAATGTGTCAAATAAACAAAAAGTTTCAAGTTTGAGTTCCTGAAAAGTTGCTGTATTAACATTTCTAACTGATACAACGTACCTACTTAATGTCAGTAGCCAATATAACATGGTAAGTTGCACATAGAAAAAGAAACACCTCCTTAATTTGTCAAACTCTAAAATGTTTGTTTATTTGAGGTCCTGAACAATTACTTTAGTATTATCATTTCTAACTGATGTAATGTACCTACTAACTGTCCAGTAGCCAATACAACATGGCAAGTTACACAGTAAGAAAAAATAATTAAAAGGTTAAGAATAAGAGCAGGGAAACTTCTGACTTCTTTTAACATTGAGTGATGGATAGTTAACTAGGAAATTAGAAATCAAAGTGTCTTGTATAGCACTTATTACATAATTATGTGTTATATTCTAACATTGGTCTGAAAGCATTAAAAATTGTCAATTTATATTTATTTTCCCTTTTATTAAAACAAATAACAAAGTTGCATAGCAACTGAACTGTGAATTTGCATACTTTTTTCTTTAGTGATTTCATACCAATAACAATTACACCAACTCATATTTATCTACAAAAAATGACAAGCTATTCATAGAACAATTAACTAGTACACCATTAAAGTAAATGTCTTCATACCACACAGGATAATAATTTGTAACATATTATCAATTATTGAACGATAATATGCATTCATGCCTACAGGAAAAACATGTAAAATATCTCTTTTATAGCCACGACAAATTAACTGGTATTAGTCTTATGATCACAAGTCCAGATTTAGACCACATTTTCAGGTGTTTGTCTCTAGGCCCAAAAGTGACCATTATAAATCAAAAATGTATAAATCATATCAAACATAGCCACTAAGCTTTGGACAAATTAAGGAGGCCCTTTATGTCAAAATATAAACTTTCGAAGGTAGATCATATGAAAACTATGACGAGAGGAGGCATTAAGTTGTCATGTACTTAGCTGTTAGCTTATGGTATGGTCACTCTGACATGCTTACAACTGCAAGGAGTCATGTCATACATAACATCTTATTAAAAAATCACTGTAAATATGACACCTACTGGGAAAAGTCGGATTTACTTTGATCTTTCTGTTGAAAATCTAAACATATATTTTACTAATTTATGTAAAATATATTTAATAGTTATTTCCCTTCCAGTCAAGTTGACAGACTAGATAATCATTAGACCCCAAAATTCCATTATAGAGATTATATTGAGATAAAATATTTTAATTATAAAAAATATAGCTATAAATCAATAGAATTGGGGCTTGGACAACTGATACACTTGTGGTGCTTTTCAAAAATATCAAAATCTAAAGTTTACTTAGGTAAGCTGTATGAAAAAAGTATCATATACCAAGTTAAGTTTGACAAAGTAATTAAAGAATACACCAAAGATTAATAATAAAACCTTTCTGAAACAGGATAATTTACATAAAAATACATAATTTATTAACATGGCAAGGTCATAAATAAATAGCAAGTTCAAATCAAGTCACAAGTTGTATACAACTAATCAAAATTTATATGCCATAAAATAACATAAAAGTAATTGTATATCTTTTAAAACATCTAAAGACATTAAAATAAATTTTAAATGTCAAATTGGACAAAGTCTTGATGGGGTAGATGGTACTTGAGATAAATAACTGGGATGTAAATGGAGAAAAGTTTGTCTAAGCAGATACACAGACCACTTGTGTGTTATTAGACATTGTAAACACAGACTCATGTTAGGGTAGCTGTTTATAAACTGTTACATAAACATTAGTGTAACATATGGCCAATATTACATTGTTTTTATTCTGCTACAATCAAGATTTGACTGACAAGTTAGCCAAACTGATTATTGAATCATTAATTGAAGGAAATCAGAACATGATTTCTCATAAATACTTTAATAAACAACTTCCTTTTGAACTTTATACCGAACAACTTTTCCTTTCAGACTTGTTTAGTATACTCAGATCCCACAGCTAATTGACAATATTAGAGTTAACCTAAATAATACAGTCCCTCCCCATAACTGATCACTTCTAATGTACCAATTGTTGAGCAGCGAAATATAACCAGTGAAATATTCGGGATATAAGAATAAGAATATTTATTGATCCAATTAAGGGCCTTTGATGGGCAACATGACCTTTAAATACACAAAAAATACACTATGATTTTGTAAACATAATTCTAACCCGTACATTGAAAATAAATATTAAATGTTCATGTAGTTATAAACCTACATATATTTCTTCATCTAATGTAAAACAGTAAACTGATTTAAACTAAGGGAGACAACTCTTCTTTAAATTTCATTAATTATCAATAGTACTCAACTAACTCTGCTACGTGCTAGAGAGAAGGCAACACAAACAGCTGATGAAACTTAAAAAGCAATGTTTCAAAAGCAGTTGCTTTTCTTTCTCTGACTCTTAAATAGTTTTTTTTTTATAATCATTTTCATTTATCTTTTTAAGATATGATATTGTACAGTGGTCATAGCCAATCAAACCACAATTTATAAATCTATGATGGAGATTGTGATTCTAAAGGTACAAAGATAACATTACTTCTCAGTTTTACATTGTTCCTAAATATTTGTACTTTAAAATAGGGTTAAGAGGTCTTGTAGAAACAATGCCAATATAATTTGGCAGATTTGACATTTATAAACAGTTTGATAGAAAGAACATTTGTTTTATCATTTAATAGAATCTCCAAAACAATGTAACCTGGGTTATACCAATATACAGCATCTCATCTCAGGACTAGATTGAATCATACAAATCTGCAACAAAATACAATTATGTAAAGCCCTATTATTGCCGAGTGCAATCCATTACGGTGAAATATGTATTGCTGTAAATATGACTAAACATTCAGATAACTATTCCCTAACTTGACCGTCGTAACATAAATCACCATGACTGACTCTGTCGCAGGGATGTTACAGTGTCACTGTCTCTGTGGTTCGTACTACTGAGTAACTCTGATTAAAACTTGAAACATGTGTGATAAAGTGGAAATCAATCGCAGCAATACTGTAAAGAGCATGATATTGGGTCTATAAGAAATTGGCTCTTTGACTTCTGTCTTAATGGCTTTGTCTATAATAGTATGGTACAACCTTAACTATTCTGCAGATGGTTCAATTGATCTAATCAATCCGGTTGCAGTTATTGTAAGTTGTATATTTCACTCCGATACCACATCTTTGATTTCAGAGTTTCATTGATTGAAATCCATAATACAGCTGTAAAGTGGATATATTTTTACAATTCTTTTCTGATACTGAATCTATTTTCAACATCAATTTCAGTATTGTTTTTCATATGTCATCGATTTATGTGTAAAAAAAAAAAAATTTATGCATCTGCCAGATTTTTTTAAGAAAAAAAAAGACATTATTTAAGTTTATTTCAGTCTAATAAACTTTGATATGAAAGTAATTCTGGTGGAGTTTTATCAAATTTCTGGTTAAAATTCTTATTAATTGAATACGATATTGATTTGAATTTCAGTGTAAATCTCATGTTGTTGGATGGTTTTCATCATTTTATCCAGATATTTAACTCAGCATAACATTTTCTTATTTGTCATCTCTGTTGATAAACGAAATTTTGCATTAATTCGTTG